ATAGATAGATAGATAGATAGATAGATAGATAGATAGATAGATAGATAAAAGCGGGAGGAGGTCAGTGTAGCAGTTAGGGGGGAAATTAGTTTGTCCCCATGTCCCTTCTTTACCTATTCATGCTATAGGCGTGGGTGAATAGTTGCATTTCATAGGCATGGCCCATACGCTGGGAAGAATGGACTATTTAGCTGTCGTTTCAGTAGACCAATATTTTATTTGTAATTAAATTGGATTTTATTAAACACTCCTCCTGATTTCATCAGACAACCCAGCCGCATTCCGCTTTACTCCCGGGTACCCCGAACATCTCAGTGTTTAGTTTACCTTTTTTTTTATTTTCATCTACAACAACGGTCAAGGAAAAAGCTCTTTGGCTTGTGGGGGAAAGGCCTTTTCCAGCCAGCACTTACGATTGACGGCATCTTTGAAGTAGGTTCGCTCCGAAGAATCATAGACAAACTGGATCTTGTTCATTTTCCAGACCGCCTCTTGCCTTTTGGTTGTGTTGTGGCCTTCCTGCCAATCCAAAATTTAAAAATGGCCATTTCAGTAAATGAACTTCCCTGGCATTAAAAGGTACAGCTCGCGACGTTTCGAGAATGGTTGTGGGTCGGTTTTTGCAACGATCGCATCTCATTTAACACACACCGAGTGCGGGATTTCCCTGCTTGTGGGTTTCCCTGTGACCAGTTCAAATGAAGCCGAATTTAAGATTTCGGGCTGGTTTTGCTGGCATCAGATGTCCTTGGTTTTTAGTGAAAAGGGAAAACCAAAAGCAGGACCCGGAGGCACACAGCAATCACCCAGTCACTTACCTTTACAAAATACAGTTTGAGGGTGTAAACTTTGTCTAGCCAAGATATCTGGAGTTCCGATTCGGTAGTGCCACATTTCCCCCTCACTGCTGCTCCTCGGGAAAGCGGAATCTCAGCTTCTTCTGTTATCAGCTAAATGCGCAAACAACACAGCACACGTTCAACAACCGAAAAGAAAGGCCGGATGACCAACACCAGTCCCAACGGTTAATGATTAGGGACAATAGAAGGGGGTAGTTTACATGGGCTCCGATATAAAATAACATCAGAAAAAAGTATCAGGGGGTAGCCGTGGAGTCCGGTGGCACCTTAAAGACTAACAGATTTATTTGGGCATAAGCTTTCCTGGGTACAAAAACCCTGACTTCGTCAGATGTTATCAGAAAAAAAGGTGATCCTTCCCCCCCAACCCAAGCAACAAATATGCCTTTAAGGGTAGGAGCAAAAAGGGGAACATACAGGAAAGAAGACACATTTGCCTATAGGGAACTGGTTTCTTTCCTGACGCTATTTCAGGCATTGACAACTTTCTCTGTCCAAAAGCATCAAATGCAGCTGGATTCGCTATTCTTAATCATCTCTGCTGGCAAAGCGCATGGACACAGAGAGGGGGGTTTCAATTAGCATCGAGATCCCTTAATGGCGCTAAAATACTGTTGGCTCGCCAGAGGCACGGTTTTTTGCATTACCTTGCTAAGAGGCAGTGGAGTAATTAGTGGGACGGGCTGAGATCTTCATTTTGAACATGGGACATTATGTTATTGGCTTTCGGGCCCGAGGCTAAGCGAACATACTACGTCCCTTTCTAAAACCGAGTGAAAGCGGGACCCTACCAAGGGAACCGAAATCCCTCTTACATCGACATAATTGCTGGCCGACACATCATAAGGGACCATCACTTTGGCCGCAAATTCGGCCATCAGACACGTGGTGCCGTTGTCCCGCACCACAAAAATATCCTTTTCGGGGCTGGTGGAGAGCCCGGAGAGGTTCTCCACTTCTTGCTCGGCCCCGATTCGAGCCATGGCATCTGCGGGAACAAAACAGAGCTGTAGAGACACCCGGGTCTTGCTGGCGGCTCCGTGCTCCGCTTGCAGCGTGGTGGGCAAAAAAAAAAAAAAAAAGTTACCCCTTTGCCCTGCTCTTCTGCAGCCAAGTCCCCCACCCGCACTTAAGCCCTTTGCATGAAATGAATCGGCTTTATTGCAAGCCCTTCTCCGGGCAAGGCAGCCGCCTGTAACGCATCCCCATGGCTAAGCTCCCAGACAGCCGCCCGAGGATGCTCGGAGCTCCCCACGCGCCCGCAAGCCGGGCAGGTCCCCTCGCCAGTGGAGCCCTAGCCTCAGCCTGCCCGCCCGTCGGAGCGCTACTCACGGACTAGGCACAGCAGCCCGGCTCTGAGCCTCACATCCATGCTTCTCTCCGCCGGGCGCTGGAGCCGGGAATTCCTGTCGGGGCGAAGAGCGAGCTCCCGGCTCTGGCGCTGCACCGTCAGGCTGCGAAATGCACCAAGCTAGCGGCGTGGCAGGGAGCTGGGGGAGGAGGAGGAGGAGGAAAGGGGGGGTGGAGGAATGCCGGGTGGGGGAGCTGTCCAAGGTATCCCCCGCTGGAGCACAAAAGCAGGGACTAGTTCTGAGCTTGCTTCTGGACCTGGGCGTGCCCGCAGCTCTACAAATGGATCCAAACGCTTCGCCTGCTGGGGAAACTTAATGGGGGGGGGGCGCCTCTCGGTGTTAAAAGAAACCCCCGGGGCTCTGCCACGACATTTCCTGGGGCTCCTGGAGCCTGTGAAGGATCCTGCTTCTGCCCTAGACAAGAAACTGCGACGGCCAGTCTTGGAGCCGGGCAGTTACTCTATAAAACGGGGCGTCGAGGCACTGCAGTGCTATCCATGTGGTGCCCCTGTTGCCCTCGCTCGCTGTAATTGCGCCAACAGCAAGTCAAGGCCTCTGGTGGTGCTTGGGGTTTTTTGTATGTTTGGTTGGTTGGTTGGTTTTTTGCATAGGCTTCGCCACTGATTGCCCCCCAAAAAGCCTAAGGGCAGACAGTGCAGCCGCCTTCCCTCCCCCCACACCACTTTTTAAATGGGCCACCTCTAAAATGGCTGCAGCGGACATGATGGGCGCTGGGATTTGGTTTGTGGTGGGGCTAAAGGAGGCATGAAAGAGTCATCATCCCTCTGTGCAGGCAGCCGGATCCTGCTTGGGCACAAGAACAGGGCCGGGTACTTCAATGGAGTGACTCCAGCTGGCGATCAGAAGTTGGCACCGGGTGTTTATTAATCATTGACCACAATCTCTGTGTCCTCAAAGACACCCACGGAGGTTTAAGACTTTCACCTGCTTTCTTGAAAAATAATGTAAGTGCTCTCTTCCTGGAGTGCCTGGCTATGCCTTGCCTTTTGAAAGAGAGGGGAAAAAAGGCCCAGCTAAAACAGATTCAAATGATCCCATTTTGGAGGGAGAGAAGGGATCGTCAGCATTTTAGATGAGTTTTTAAACAATAAGTGCTATGACTATAGGTTGATAGAAAAGTCAAGATTTTCCATGCAAAAGATTGGCTGAGGAAAAGCGCTCATTCTGTTATGGACAGCGCTGCAGATAGCAGGAGACAGGACTAAACTGTGCAGTCTGCAGTTATAAAAGAGCAACTCCCCTCAATTATTGGCATTTTCCCGGCCCCCAGTTGCTATCCTCGCTAAAAGCATATTGTGTTGGGATTCATTACCACGGGCCTTATATCAGCAGAGAGAGATTGCCTGGAGTCTCCATCATATAAATTGGGCCGCCTTCACCGGTGTCAGGTGGCATTGGTTCACTGAAGTTAATGAAACTATCCTGATTCCCAGCAGCTGAGGATCTGGCCCATAGAATCGAACTTCGAAAAGGTTACAGCGTTCTAGGAGGGTGTGGTTAAAAGGCAGACGGATACATCTGATAGAGCACACTCACTCTTAGGGGTCTGCTAGTGAACACTGCAAAAGGGTGTTCGTTACATTCCCGTGCTTTCACATGTTCTTACAGTGTATTTCTGAGCCATTCATCTTTTTTACCTGATCTGTCATATGCTTGCTCTTAGCCCAAAGGTGAGGTTTTCTACAAAGGTTGAGCAAAATCCTTTCAACCATGTTTTAGCTCGGAGAGGATGAGAAATGGTTCGCTTTTCCCCATAGGAAAACAGTCTAACTACACGTGAGAGAGAGAGAGTGTTACAGCAAAAAAATAGCTGAAGACTGAAACCAGCGAAAGATTGAGGGCCAAATCCAGCACCCACTGACGTAAATGGGAAACCTTCCAGTGACAGTCAGTGAACATTGGATCAGGTCCATGGGCCCAGATCCACAAAGGTATTTAGATTCCTAAGGCCCCTTGATTTCAATGGAAGTTAGGAGCCTAAATACCTTTGTGGATCTGGGCCTCATGAACAACTAGAGCCTTTGCTTGCTTCCAAATAAAATGGCTTGCTTGAAAGTTGCATTCAGAGCATGGTCAGAAGAAAAAGTAATCAATAACATCAACTCAGAGACACTGAGCACCTAGGCTGTTACTGAATATAGTGGGAACACTGTTGAAAATCAGACTATAAATCCATAGTTGGGTAAATCTTTTCCCCTGCCTCTACAGATGCAGTGACTCCACTTCCAGCAGAACCAGTGCTGTTCCATGTGCAGAGAGGAAGGGGGCAAATGCCGAGGGGCCAAGCAGGGTGTGTGCACCTTCTACCACATGTAGAACTCCTAGATTGATCCTCCCATCTCCCACAGAGAGGGAGCCCAATACTAAAGATGGGACAAGTGAAATTGCAGGCATGGAGTGTCCCCACCATCGCTGGACAATTCTACACAGAGAGGCCACTCACAGGCCAATATTCAGGTTGTGGAATTCACCACCAGAGTGTTTGCCCCTACATGCACACTTAGAGCCCAATTCTCTGAGTCTACCCAAGTCATTTACACTAGTGCAAAGTGTCACCAGATCAGAATGTTATTTTACACTCATTTTCCACTGGTCTAAATGACTACACAAGATACAGGGAAAGAAGAATCTGGGGCAAGTGTGAAATTGAACATAGAAGCCAGCACAAGGTCTATGCAACTAAATCCTCCTTAAGTTTCATTGTTTTACAAAATACGGCCTATACCACAACCCCAGTGCCCTTTCTATTTCTTGGGCAGTATTTGTGTTTCAGGATCTCACAGTATAATATGTGCACAGATTTTTTTTCCAAGTGCTATTTTTGCCACAAGTTACAAGCACTGTAGATGTAGTTCCATTGATTCCATACTCACAATTAAATATTCCCACCTGGAGAAACTTTGGTCTCCCATTAAATGATGTCAGCTGAAGGAGTTCCAGCCTTAAAAACCACTGATAGAAAAACATAGTACATATGTAATACATGATGGACCTCTTTTATGACCTGTATCTTCAGTCGTAAGGAGACACTTGTTAACTCACTACTATACATGCTTCACTCATGTATATTAATGGTACACTAGTGATCAATCGGTTTAAATACTGAAACCCATTCATTTTCTGATCGTGAAATTATCCTGCAGTGCTTTATACAAGGTCTTCTAAGGATTGGACATGTTCCTGCATAGGAAAAGATGACATTGCTGCGAGAACCAGGTGTAAAGCGTGCTAATTAAGAATAGTACGCTCCTGCTAAATGGATTAATCTATTGCTGTTGTGTATTATCTTGTGTCTTCGATGGTGTGTGGGTATATATACTTAAGCATGTTAGCTTTGGGAAAACTCTTTGTGGATAAACATTCAGGGCCACGTCCTTAGCTGGTGTAAATCAATGGAGCTCCGCTGAACGCAATGGAGCTGCTCCAATTTGCACCACTTGAGGAGCTCACTCTCAGTGCCTGCTTCTTCTTTGACACAGCTTTTACACTGGTGTAATTCATTTACTTGAGTGGGATTAGATTTACGCTCCCGGGTGTGAAGGGCAAGAGAATCCAGCGCTCAGATGCTCAGTTCACATAAACCCCAGTCTGAACTACCTCCTGAATGCGCTAAATTGCACTGCAAGTCTCCTAAGAATCGAATATTCTTTGCTCTATTTTGTTTCTGGTCAGCCAGGAAATACTACCATGATTCTTGTGTGCAAGGAAACGCCACATGACCAGCTGATGGTAGTTCAGCATTTTCTGCCTGCTCTGGCCAGAACTAGAAAAGGAAAAAAAATGGGTGTTTACTGTTAAGTGTTAAAAGAACTTGAAGGATCAAACTGAATTTGGGGCAGAAGTGTGGGGTTTTTTTTATCTCAAGGGGCTCCCTTCATCCCTAATGTTGAAGGTTTGGTAAATAACAAAGGACACCTACCGTAACCTCTCCTGCTTCCAGTGAATTCAAAGGTAGCTTTGCCATTAACTTTCAACAGGAACAGGATTGGGCCCACTAACAATGTTTGCCCTCATGGATCACAAAGGAAGGTGAAATTGTAAGTGTGAATAAAGCCCAAGGTGAGTTATTATTCTCGTACTCTCATGAATGGACATTCAGAATAAACACAAGGGCTTTCATTTCACCATTATTTTGTCCACGGGGCGCATGTTTATGTTTTGGTTTGGTTTGATTTTTTTTTTAATCTAACCTGTGTCCTTGATGTCTTTCTATCCAATCTTCCTTTTTTAATTGTTATATCAGACAGCTGCTTTAGCAAAACAATTGTTGTTCCCTTAGTGATGCTAATGTTGTCAGAGGAAGAAACAAACCCATTTAGCCAGGCATTTTATGGTTGTGTTTGATGGTGGGTTATATGTTCTTGTGATAGTTGCTCATGGATCAGTAGTAATTTCAACTGAGGAGAGCAGCTGTTTAATGTGTTGATTTACAAGCAAGTGGGCAAATGTGCTTTGGTGAGGATAAGGTCAGAAGCAACTTCTATGACGTGTGTATAAAGATATAGATATAAATATAGATGGATAGGTATAAATGTCTCCCTAATTCTGACTCTGAAGTTCAGTACCAAAGGAGTGAAGAGAGAATGTACTACAGTGTTACAGGTGGAAATAATTAACCCAGTAGTTAGTAAACCAGAGACAGTAGCTCTCAGAAGAGATGGGCAAAAAGCACTTTGGTTTATTAAGTTTAGTGGCTGTCCGTGTGAAAGATCCCATAACAGTTTTGGGAAAGTGTAAAAAAAATAACTCTCTGTCTGATGCTCTTCCTTTCGGAACACAAATTACAGTTAGGACCGGATTTTCAGAGAGGCGATGCACCTACAACTTCCATTAACTCCAGGTGAGGTTAAAGGTGACCGGCCCTTCTAAAAATCGAGGGCAAAGCTGGGTGAGGCATTACTGAATGCTACTTTTTGCCAAGAAGGCAGCTACACCACCACCAGCTAACCCGTTTTCATAAAATGTTTTCCCATCCAATATACATGTGTTTCCTCAACTC